ATGACGCTAACCGACAACAAGATCGACTACGTGCACTGGGACGATCCCAACGAGCTGGTGGATCGTTTACGATTGCTCGACGCTTCGCACCAAGTAGGCCACAACGGCCACGACAACGAGATTCTGTCGATCATCGAGGAACTTCGCGAAGCCGGCATTATTATAAATTAAACGGTGTCTCGACAAAACTAATTAATCGATCGACCGACGTCGCTCGCATCGATGATGCATATCAACAAATTTGGGATATCCGAGCAGAGCAGAGACATGACAACCGCCATTTCGTACCGTCGATGGAGTAGATTAATGAGAAATTTCGTGCGCGATAACGCTCTGTGTCGCTCCATTACGGACTTTGACGCGAGGTCGCGCAAGATTCGCCGTGTAGCGCTACCTGAGGCTGATACCGACGCCGTCAACAAACTGTACGTGGATCAGTACGTTAAAACGTTGAGAAATCAACTGAAAGAGTCAGACGAGAAGCTTTCCGCGTTCGAGAAAGACGTGCGAGCGTTACAGACTGTGGTAAACGAGCTTCGGCGTGTGAATGTCGCTAGATTAAAAACGAGTAACGAACGCTAACGAAATGCTAACGAACGACAACGAAACGCTAACGAAACGACAACGAACGACAACGAAACGACGACGAAACGTCAACGAAACGCCAACGAACGACGACGAAACGTCAACGAACGACAATGGATGACAACAAACGGTTCACGGACAGCTACGGACGGTTCACGAACGGCTACAAACGGCTGAAGGACGGCCGAACGGTTCAGGAATGGTTGTCAGACGGTTATCTAATGGGTCAAGAACGGCTGCGAACGAATCAGGAACGGCTACCGAACGGGTCAGGAACGGCTACGAACGGCTATCGAACGGCGACGAATGGTAGCGGATGACAAAGAATCATTATTAAAGGACGATGAACGGGAATAAACGGTTATTAAATGGTTAAAAAAAGTTAAAGATATAAATTATAATGTAATTTCTTTACACATATTATTACGCGCCGACCAGTCGCACCGCTAAAAACATGACATCGTTAAAATCCGATGGACGTAAAAATATCGAGAAGCTACGACTCGTCGAGGAACTGCATGCTCCGGCGAGAAGAAATTTTCCCCGAAGACGCGTCGTAGTGCGGGGTTACGACGACCTGTAGCAAGCCGACATCGTCGAGATGCGTCCGTACTCTCGTTTCAACAGAGGTTACCACTATATACTCACCGTCATCGATGTGTTGAACAAGTACGCGTGGGCCGTACCGCTCAAGAGTAAAGGCGGAAGCGAGACGGCTGACGCTATCGCAGAGATAATTCGAGATAGCGAGAGGCGTCTGAAAAATAAGCAAACCGATATGGGGAAGGAATTTTACAACGCTGACGTGCAACGTCTCGTGAAGAAACACGACATCAATCATTATTCCACATATTTGGTGTTGAAGGCATCGGTCGTCGAACGATTCAGTCGCACATTAAAGAACGACATGTGGAAGATGTTCACGCTCAACGGAACTTACAAGTGGGTCGACGCGTTGCCGCGACTCGTATCGGATTACAACGCGCGCAAGCATCGAACGATTGGCATGCGACCCGTCGACGTTACCCCCGCAATCGCCGAAAGACTCTTGGCTACTGTGTACAGCGCGATAAAGATCGCGGGTCCGGCAAAGTTCAAAGTAGGTGACTCGGTACGCGTTAGCAAGTACAAGACGATCTTCGAGAAGGGTTACACGCCAAATTGGACCACCGAGGTGTTTAAGATCGTTAAAGTGCAGCGTACTAATCCCGTAACCTATCTATTCAAGGACTATCGCAAAAAATCTGTCGCTGGAGCGTTCTACGAGTATGAGTTACGTCGCGCGACTTACCCAGACGTGTATCTCGTGGAAAAAGTACTGCGCAGGAGGGGTGACGAGGTTTACGTCAAATGGTTGGGATTCGATGGATCGCACAACTCTTGGATACATAAGAACAATGTGGTTTAATTCGTACAAACTGTATTTTATTTTTAACATATAAAAAATATGAAATACATATAAAGTATCTGAAATATGTAAAATATAAAAAAATATATGTAAGATGTATACAGCATATAAAATATAAAATATAAAAGAAAGATGGAATTATATTTCTATTGTTTTTTCCATACATATATACATACATAAATTCTTGATCCACGCGAAATGTCTGACGTCTTGCGAATCTTGCACGTACAGCAAGTTGACGTGTCTGACCTTCTTTTGCTCGCTCAGACGTATTGGGACAATGTTATTCTCTTCCTCGATGCAGTATACATTTATCGAAATGTCATTATGAAGTTCAAACTTTTTAATTTGATTTACAGTCACTGGAAACTCAATGTTCTGGAGATTCAGCACTGTCGTGTAATGCGTAACAGACAATATTCTAACAGATACAAAAAATAGCGATAAAGTTTTGTTGTGACACCTAGAAATGTACCTATATCAGCAAGACATTTTTTTGAGTGAAGGTAGTGACTTGGTGCGACAGTTCCAACAGGTCGCGTTCGGTTTGCTCGGGATGTTCCATGTTTTTTTTTGTTTTTTTCACACTTTTTATAACAATGTTTTTTTTTACTGTGTACAAATTGGGCACATATTGCATGGAAAAATCTGATACAATGGAGTCCTGCAATTAGAGCAGAACCCGCCACTTATCGCGTCGTATAATTCAATCACATGCTTCCGAACCGCATACATGTATCCGAAATCAGTGTCTGCTATAGCGTTCATACATGTACTACATAAATCTAAAGCATCACCCGTGGAATAATAAAAGTATATGGTGCAAAATTTCGTACGTCCGTTAACGCAATAATTTGCGAATGAGGTACTATCTTGTCAACACTTTCCTCAAGGTCCTCACTTTGATCCCTAATGTAATTATTGTCATCCGACAATGCGTGATCTTCGTCGGACGACTCATCTAATACTGCCTCGAAATTATTATCCATTTCCATTTTTGCTGATTGTCGCGACAAAATCTTCCTCTATACCGAACACTTGGCACACAAAAAAATTACAAGTACCCGCTGTACCTCTTTCAACCGATATACGAACCGCAAGCTTTCAAATCGCATACTGAGTTTTTGACATTCGTTCTTCATTATATATTTTTAATCTATCGCGTTATGGTGTCGCGAAACGTGTCTCGACAAGCGACATCGATAAACGGCTCTTCCTAGAAAAAAATGAAGAGGCCACCGCGATGGTTCTATTTTGTTTATACAATATATATTTCAGACATCGGCGCTAGCCATTTGTAATACACCGATAAACATGTCTCGACGCGAATTCTAGCAGCGGACATCGGCGCTCGCCTTATCATCTTTAAATTCAGTAATGCTGCACGTGCAATAGTGCTAGACGTTATTTGTTTATAATGTTTATAAATTCGAGCATCCGGACATCAGCACCCGCCCTTTGTAATACACTGCGCCGATTATGCTTCCGCGATAAGCGCGCGATAAGCTCCCCCGCCTGCGTGACGTCATTCCCCGCGCCACCAAAATCCCTCACCGCCCGCGTGACGTCATGCCCCCTCGCCACCGGTTTCCCCTCGCCCCTCACCCCCCCTCAGAGGATCATGGCTTAGAACCCGCCTATTAACACTACTAACGAAATACAGCGATATCAACATGCGTCGTGATAGATATAACCCGCGATGTATACACAAAATGTTCAAAAATATAATTAATTTAAATATAAATAAGCGATTAAAATGTTCTACATAGGTTTGTAACTTTTGTCTGTTTTAATTTTTATTTATTTTTCTATTTTGATTTAACCTATTCATGGAGATTTCTTATGAAAGGATCTTTTATATTTTACAGATTCTGCATTATCCTTGAATCCAAACTTACGTAGCACATTTTAATTTTATTTATTTTTTAAATTATAGTTTTGAACATTCTGCATACATCTAAATTGCCAGTTGGGTCGGATATATACAAACACTCCTTTTATTTTTTAATTAAGAATATTTTTGAACATTCTGTATATACATCGCAGGTTATATCTATCACGACGCATGTTAATTTAACTGTATTTCGTTGATATGACAGATTTTCTAACCATAAATACGCTAAGCATTTGTAGATAAATGTTTAGTTCTTCACCTTAGATTTTGATAAAAATAAATTCGTTTAATGTTTTTTCGTATAAAAACAAGTTAGAAAGATAAAAATCGTTACTCGGTATTATCAAAAAAGTAATACACCGTTAAAAGTTATACATTTAAAGAACACGATAGACATTAAATAGAAGACATTAAATGAATGTATTTTTATTAAAATCTAAAGTGAGCGGGTGAAACTAAATATTTATCAACATATTTTTTGTGTATTTAAGGTTGGGAAATTTGTCATATCAATGAAATACAGCAATATCAGCATGCGTCGTGATAAACATAACCTGTGATGTATATACATAATATTTTTCAAAATATAATTAATTAGAAAATTAATAAGCGATTAAAATGTTATACATGAGTTACGTGCATTACCTAACCCCATCGTCCGTCACTTTGGGAAAGATAAGAGAGGATTTTTTTTAGTACGAAAAGAGGTATAAAAATGGACTGGTAGAGAATTGCATTTAGCAATCCATTAAGGTTTGTTCTCACTTTTATTCATTCCATATTTTGATTTAATTTATTCAAGGAGACATTTTTTACGAAAAATTTTTTATACTTTATAGATTCTGCATTATACTCGAATGCAACTACAAAATAGAATGTATGGAAAAGAATGAAAAAGAAAATGTAAAACAATTTAATGTCGTGCTATCAGAGGTTATCAAACTATTACACTATAAAAATAACTAATTTGACATATCCCTAAAAACGTCCATAGTAAGAAATTAATGGTTTATTTTATGATATATTATCAAGAAAATATCAATTCATCAATTACTTTATAATATTAATTTTTGATATAGCATACTACTTCTGAAAAGAACCGCCAAAATTTGAAGCATTTGTGTATCTTGTAATATAAGCTCTGCAACTACTTTAACCTTTGTACCTCTACATGGAAAAGGTAAGCGAATAATGGCTTTTGTATGAATGCGTATATTTCATGAGGAATAATATATACCTAAATTTTTATTTATTCCTAATTTTACTATTGGTTTTTTTTTTTCAAAGTGAATTGATTGATCGATTGAAAGAAAAGAGGGAAGAAGAAAAAAATACTGGTGAAAGAAAAACCAAATTCGATGAAATATGATGAGATATCTGAACGACAAAATATTTTAGAATAAAATTAAGATTGTTAAATGATATTCAGCATCTAACATACGAAAATGGCCATCTAGATTAGTATTCTTATTTAGTGTTATTCACGTTATCAACAAAGCTGTACATCACTATATTGTCCAAGAGTGGCAGATCGTAGCACATTTCTCTTTCACTATCGTTATTCTCTCCAGATAAATGCCTATTAAGATGTGTCACCTTTAGATAATGGTAATATACATAAAATACAAAAGCAATATACATCGCAAATACTATTATTACAGCTATATAACTTCAGCTTTAAATTGTTAATATTTTATTCATTTATTTTTTATAATTTAATGTTGTATGTAGAGAAATATATACAAATTTATTGCATTAATAAAATTATTAAAATCTAATATGATTATTTTAATATTTTTAATCTCATAAAATCGTACATATACAGGGTGAGTCATTTTAATCAACGGACGCAAATATCTCGTAAAGTAAGCAAGATGGAAAAAAATGTTTTATACAAAAGTTGTAGGGTTCAGAGTATTTTTATTTTTATTTTGTTTTTATGTTTATCTTTATTTTAATTTTTCTTTATGTTTCTCGAATTTGTTATCTCTTATTTTTATGCCTTATATGCATAATGTGCCTAGCGCTTTACGGGATATTATCCCGAGGCGTCTAATAAATAACGATTCATTCATTCATTCATTCTCTCTCTCCCATATCCCTCCCTTCCTCCCTCTCCCTCTCTCTCACTCTCTCTCTCTCCCTCTTCTTCTCTCCCCCCTCTCTCCCTCTCCCTCTTCGTCTCCTCCCTCTCTCTCTCTCTCATTTATTATAAATTTTTAAAATTATAATTTTATAAAAGAGTATACACGAAAGAATAATCATACATGAGCGATGGGACAAAATCGCTTTGCGTGTGTGCGTGCGAGCATACGTACGTGAGAGTCTGAAACTTATGATTATTATGATGATAATGATGAAGAACGAAAAATGTTACAATTCTGATATACGATCATTATTTCTCGAGATTGACTGCACCAATCTTATTTGAACCGGTCGCAATCGAAAGCTTGTATTCACATTATATAATAAAAGTGCCGTTAGATTTTTGATTATGGCTTTAGTTCCTGAGGTATTTTAATCGAAAGTTTATTACACGTAAAACTCCGGATAAGCTATTTGGCCATGGCGCCTGTATATAGGCAAACTGTTGACAGCCAGTCAGTTTTCTTTTATGTACTTGGCGTCGCGACCCTAACGCGTCGCTTGATATACAGGGTGTCCCAAAGCAGCCTTGACAACGGTCGTGAGCAGGTAGAGCACAGTAAACTGAACAGAAAAGTCCTATACTTTTTTTTCTATAACGCTTAATAAAGGAGTTATTATTGAGTAAAGTCTGGCCAATCAGTGTCGACTTTTAGCCAGACGCACGTCGGTGAGCTGTCCGCCTGGTAGTGTGCACCGCCGCCACAGTGGTGCATTGTAGTTGGAAGTGCGGAAAAAACCTCATATCTTCGGAATTTCTCGATATATCTTATTAACTCATTGTTTTTTATGTTTCTTCTTCAAATTCTAAGTTTATATGGAGAGTAATATTAACACATTTACCATAAAAATGAAATTAGAATGCTAATTATTAATCTATGCTTATAACTGCCACAATCGTTACAAAAAAGAATTATTTTATAATTTATTACTTAATAATAATTATTAACATAATATTTAATAATAATTAGTAACATAATATTGTTAGAGATTGAGCAATTCGCGCCCATATTCGCTAGACTACGTTTTGTTGAGAACCGGTGCTGTTAACTAGTACATAATTTGTAACGTTTCGTTTTTTTCTATCGATATCGAAGGCCTAAGACGCTCGCGCAATCCCGAAATACGTGCTACTTTGCTTATAACTAATAGAATTAAATACAAAAAGTGTTCATATGTCTACGTCAATGCGAGGAATTCTCTTTGTCGATACCGCGTGAGCTCCCGTTTATCAGACGTCCGAAATCGCTTTCTGGATCTCTCCTCACGCCTCGTGGTGTCGAGCAAATTTGCCGTCGTGGCCTGCGAATTACAATCTTCAATCTCTCCGCGCATTCTCAAGACTAAATTTAACCGTTGAGCAATACTTATTTGGGGAGGTGCTAATAATTATTAGATCCGACTCCGATTGTTCCCACGTTGGCTCTTTCTCCTGTTCCGGGGATTTTTGGCCTTATTCCCTGCGTACTTCCGAGAGATCTGTCGGCACAAGGAGTATCCAGGCTGGGAGCGGTGCACTTGGACACAGTACAATTGGACACGGTGCAAATGGACACGTTGCAAATGGACACGAAACTTTGCACACGGCTCAATTGGACACAGTGCATTTGGACACAATAATTTTGGACACAGAAGAAAATTCATTTGGACACCGTTCAGTAGCACACCGGTCAGTTGCACACCGTTCAGTTACACACCGTTCAGTTGCACACATAAAAATGCAAACCGTTTAGTTGGACACATAAAAATGCACACCGTTCAGTAGCACACCGGTCAGTTGCACATCATTCAGTTACACACCGTTCAGTTGCACACATAAAAATGCACACCGTTGTAATAAACCGCTTTCGCGAGGCGGTGACGGATAACTCGGTCGGGATCCGGGGCTCATGAAAGGGTATCGAGAGACGAATGAAAGTGATGTTAGGTAAAATATAATTTATTGCGTATTGTGGTGTATATGTACAGCGTGTGTGTTTATGTGTGTGTGCGCGTATAGGTGTATGTGTGTATTGGTGTGCGTGCGAGACGAATGACGAGTGAGTGAGCGCGCAAATGTATAATAATAATTAGTTGTGCGCAGAATATCGAATGGAAGATCGTTATGTATGAGCGAATGATACAAGCGTGTGAGTGCGTGTCGGTGTGCAGCGGTGTGTGTGAAGCGGTCGCCTGTACGGCGATACGGCGGTGTGCGATGTATAAATGATTATAATCGAGTGAGTATGTGTGAATATATATATAATGTAAATGCGTGTAAGATGCAGGATGTACGGCGGTACGGTTGTGTCGGGTGCGGTGCATCTAATGCGTTGCGCGGTTCGTGATTTCGGCGGATCGATAGAATATCGATTACGGATCGCGGACCGCGATTTCGGCAGATGCCGTTAGCTACCGGGCGGTAATTTCGGTCGGGCCGGTGGGCGGTCCTTCGACACGTATGTATTGATCGCGTATGTCGATCAGTGTCGCGGTAGGAATGTGGATCATCCCTCGTCGCGGGACTTAACGCGCCGTATCAATGGCGAGTCCGGATGACTAAATGGCGGTCGCGGAAGTGTTAGCTAGGCGCGTATGGCGCGTGCTGTATTAATTCGGGATGGTCTTTCCCCGTGGAATTTCGGGAGTGCAACGGTCGACGAGAACACCCGTCGATGGCAGGGAACTCCACACCACTGGAAGGTCGCCGTTGCACGCAGGTGGTCGGATTTATGCGAGGTGTCGAGTACTCTCGACGGGGACGAGTACGCCCGTTCCCGTTTGCCTCGTTTAATCGGTTTATTTTTGGTAACGGTCGGGCGGTTACCCGAGCGCGTCGTCGATTCTCGATGTTTTCGCGCGCCTAACGGCGGTTGGATGTTTACGCGTTTCTGTTGTTATTTAAAAATGGGCGCTCAGCGCCTCCGCATTTGCCCGACCGGTATTCGTTGGGCGGCGGACTTCCGGCGGATCGGCGGCCGGGTACGGTTTAGTAACGATGGGGGGAATGCATTGTTACACCGTTCAGTTGGACACATAAAAATGCACACCGTTCAGTTGCACACCGCTCAGTTGCACACCATTCAGTTGCACACCGTTCAGTTGCACACCGTTAATTTGCCCACCGTAGTTGTAAAGCGAGGTCCACCCTGCCTGCCGGCGGGGTGGCTGCGGGAGGAGGGCCGAAGGCCCCCCTTGCACCCCCCGTGTGTGTTTGTGTGTGTGTGGGTGCAACTGAGCGGTGTGCAATTGAGCGGTGTGCAATTGACCGGTGTGCAACTGAGCGGTGTATAATTGAGCGGTGTGCAACTGAGCGGTGTGCAACTGATCGGTGTGCTACTGAATGATGTCCAAGTGAATTTTCTTCTGTGTCCAAAAGCTACTGTGTCCAAAATTATTGTGTCCAAATGCACTGTGTCCAATTGAACCGTGTGCAAAGTTTCGTGTCCATTTGCAACGTATCCATTTGCACCGTGTCCAATTGTACTGTGTCCAAGTGAAGGCCACTTTCCAGGCTTCCTCTTCGATACGCGGCAGTGTCCGTCTTCTTACGATTAGTGATGACGTGGCCCTGATCGCCACAATTGATTTGGAGTTCCTCTCGAGTCGATGTTGCCTGTATGCGTCCCCGGAACGAAAGAGAACGAGAGACCCAGGCTCGATTATATTGATCTACCGCGATCGATTGACATGCGCACTATTCGCTAATATTTCGGCAGAAGTGGGAATAGGCACAAGGCGCCGAAAACGGTCGATTAATACTTCGATATCGCTTCTTACAAATTATAGAAGGCGTTGCCGTTCTACACGACGTTGCCCTCACCGTGTATTTTTTCACCGTCTCTTATCTTGTTATTCTTCTTCCTGTTTTCGTCTCGCGTGATATTAAAATATATTCAGTCTAGTTCAAATAATTCTAACCGATTGATTTCTCGTCTCCCTGACCCACTCGCTCTAACAAGTTATG